ATTTTTGAATTAAACCTACAACAGAGTTTGTAAAAAAGCAAATGGATGAAACGACTGGCAGTGGAATGGCAAAGTTAAATGGAATATTTAAGGCAACTGTTTCTTATCTTTATTTTTCTAATTAAAAATGTGCTTGTCCCATGGACAAGTCATATCAAAGGTTTACATGTTCGAACTAAATTTCTACCTGTCCCGGACTAAAGTTCCAAATCAATAAACATTCCTAGCCTTCTCATGAGCTCCACCAAAGACTTTCAGGGAAAATATAGAAACATATAAGCACCTTATTCCCAAAAGTTTCAAATTTTCCTGAAACTTTACCTAATATATTTTTTTCCTTTTTAATACGAAACGTTCAAGGTTCCTAGTTAATGTAACAGGAGTGAAGCCACTTTGCTATTGAAAGCCCTTATCCTCAATCTTGAAAACAATGCCTCCCAATAATAATGTACAGTGTACCCTGTAAATAAAGCAGCCTATTTTCTTTCCTTGCCACCAGGGACATTTCACAAGAGAGACAGTTGTATTTGCAGATTAATAATGGTGTATGTAGACAAGAGAATCCAAAACAGCTATGACTGCTATGACTCTCTTAAGAGTCTTATCTTTCACAACACTTGTTTCTTTAAATTTTATTTTCCTTTAAACCTAGATTTACTGACGATACAACTATGGTGCAAATAGAACAATTTCTGGTTTCTAACATGACTGTGTGCTTTGCTTCCCAAAAAGTAAGGCATTCAATTTCCTGACAGTATGTGCTGCACTGTATCCTCTCAAGAACCACAATATAATTTCATAGGAGCAGTGCACAATGAAGATTAAAATTAATGGTAATATATGAAATGAATCATACTTTGAACTGCAGATGAAGGTATGAAACTGTGAAGATGTTAACAACTATGTTGGCACTTACATGAAAATACATTCCAATTCAATCATGGTCTGCATTAGCTATGCATTGAAAGACTCATGAAAATGTCTATTCATTCTCTGTTCATTTAAGTTAAAACCCACGTAATTTAAAACCAAAAATAAACTTTTGTACCTGCCTCAAAAAATACATGCATGCTGTTAAATTATTCACCACTTGATGCTATTACTGCCCGGGGAATTGGGAAGCTTGGGTTTGTTATTGACTGACGCATGAAAATATAGAACCAGACTACGTAGATTATCTTTGCCTCCTTGCAAATTCAACACTTGTTAACACTTTTCTATTCTGTTTATTAGTTCTTCTATAGTCTGTGAAAATTTTCATAAGAATGTTTGTATCACATTACATGTAAGCTTACTTTATACAGATGTCCTTTCTTAATTCCATTATTTTCTTTTAGTAATTCCCAGTACCAGTGACCAAACTCCTATTTTCCAGTGCAAAACAAGGAAATTCTACTCCTTCAGACCCCCAAAGTCCTTACATGATTTTACATTATCATCTTCAACGTCATGGTCTCGTTGCTTGCTTAGTATTGAAAGGTTATGCCAAATAAATACATATGTTTAGTTATAATTTACTTTAAACGGTTAATGCTGGTTTCATTGCTCACTGAAATGTTAGTTACTGAGTACTTGAGACAGTCATTCGAACTCGTCATAAACAAGTTGGAATTAAGCTTAACAAGTTAGAGAGAAGGCGAGCCAGGACAACTTACCTTGCCTTACTATCTGCTCTTTTCAGCGAGATCTTGAGTATCGAAGAGCCTTAGTAATACGTGTAATACAGTCTTGGTCTGTGTTGTGAACATTCCAGTGTTAATGCTTGCGCTTCACACGATGTTTCTGTCTCCATTTCTGACTGAGTATCTCGTCCCGAAAGGGTTGCTGCGCACTTGAGAAGTGATCGATTACTGAAGGATGATAGTGCCATTATAAATTGTAACAACCTTAAAATGTGCTGTGATGCTATCGAGAAGCATAATATAAGAACGATCTCCAACCTTTCAAAGAAGCAAGTTTGAAATCGTTGGACACTTTCAAAATGGACGCCAAATCAACGAACCTGATTGAGCATGTGCAAAGGAACAAGCCCGCTGACCAGGTGTCCCTTCACTCTATTGTTTCCAGGCCCCTTTCTTTTAACAAATTGTCCGTTCCTAAAGCTGAAGTATGTAAAATTGGTCACAGTAATTTGTGAATGCGTTCTTTCTCTTTAAGTAATGCGTTCTTTCTTTAAGTAAAACTCGCCGTTTTTGCGAGGCGATATTTTTTCTTTATTTTCCAATTATTTCAATTTGATCAAATTACAGTTGAAACTCTCTACAACGGCCACCTTAGGGACATCGAGGAAAGCGGCCATAGTAGAGAGGTTGAAAGAAGAGTACATGTATGTCACGTACGTATGGACCGTCCGCCGAAAAAAAAAACAAAACAAAACAAAATTGGCCCGTGTAGAGAGGTGACCGTTAGGGAAGAAACACCTTATACTGACTGAAATCAATGAGGGAATACTACTGAGTATTGAAGGCTATTGTGTTTGCCGCGACAGATATGCCGTTTTTCGAAAATTGCCGCACAGTCGCAAGCTATATCTTTGCATGAACTCTGCCAGCAGAATTTTCTTTTCAGCGTCATTTTTAAGCGTGTACGAAGTCGTTCGCACCACCAAAAAAAATTTGCGTGGTTGGCTTGTTTACATCGCACACCAACATCGAACACCAAATGAGTGATCAAAAAAACTATGCGAACTAGTATCAGGACACAAACGACTTACTAAAATAAGTGCCGGGAATAAATTGCTGTTAGGAAGCTAGCATTATATGACAACCTTACTAAACCTTTACTTGTAGCGTAAATGAGCGTAAAGCTGTTACAACAACTTTATGCTAGCTTTACGAAACCTTTAAGAGCCGAGCGCGTA